GGAGAGAGATTTTTTGTTAGATCCTGAAATACGGTCTTTTATCAACACTAGTGAAGATATCTTCAGGTTTTATTCTATGACATAGAATCTAAGCTTTTTATGTCTAGTTTTTACATCGGATGCTAACAAGTGGCTAAATGAGAACTGCAGACATTAAAGTCATCATAGTCGCCGACACGAGAGACCAATCTACTCACTAGTTTTGTTTTGACAGCCTCCCTGTGTGGAGGAATGGCTTTTTGTAGAGGTCAAGAGCTAAAACCAAAGTTGTTGGAGTTGGAAGTGTAGTGGTGGTGAATATGTGAAGTCATGTGACCCTGGTGTAGTGATTTTATAGGCCTCACATTTACTTTTAACATCTGGCGATTGTATTTAGGCTTCAAAAAGATCATAAAGAGGCTGTTCATTAGTGAAGATTATCCTGCATGAACAAAGCATGCAGGCATCGGTAAAAAAAAAATCATTTAAAAATTTCCATTGGCTTTTTTGTCGAGGCGGAGACAGGGTGATGCTAACATCCAGGTTTAGCCTAAAAAAATACGATCATTCGTGCAGCACTGTATAATTCAATAACAGTGAACCAGCCCAGTGTGAACATAAGTTACCCAGGCTTCGTCAAATGAACAGGCTAGCTAGATAAAGTGGGTTGCTCGCCTTGGAGAGTGATGAGGAAGAGATACTATCAAGTCCTATCAGTGACTAAATCAGCTGCCAGCCTCAATATAGACATAGGCTCGCTCTGATTATTATTTAGTTAATTTTGGCCTTTCTCTGCGCCATACAAAGGAGATGTTCATTAAACATTTTTAATGCTATACAAATCATTACAAATTCACCTCTTCATCTTTGTTTTGCAGTGGAGGCGTAAATTGACAGTGATATCTCAAAACCTGGATGAAACAACAAAGATTTCTGCATGGCACTGGCAATTAAATTAAGAAAATATGTGACCCTTTAAATGGTTTTTTTCTAAATGGATGTATAAATGAAAACAGTTATATGGCTTTAAAATTCCACAATAGGCTGAACTCCATTGGAAATTTAAAAGTCATTTTAGATACACTTCATCAGTAAGTTGAAGAATCTCAACAGCTTCAAGAAGAGTGAAAGTCAATTAGATTCTAATCAAAGTCAAATTTTTATTCATTACAATAAGGAAAAAAAAAACATTTCCTTTTGATATTTCAAAGGAAATTTTTCCTTCAAGCGATCATGATTTTTTTTATCCTTTATTCTATTATGTGTTATTATAGTGAAAAAACTAAAGAAACTCCCTGTTTACTCTTTGTAGTTCCTCCTTCTCTCCAGTCTTGCAAGCCTTTAATCAGCCAATGCTAACTTTCTTGCTCTTGCAACCCCCAGCTCTGTCTATAGAGCAGACCACAAAACAAACAAGCAGGTGTTTAGTGTTGAATTTCGATCCTTAAATGCAAAGAAGTACATTGTATGTAACCTTATAGTACAGGTGATTTCCATTGCATGCTGTCTGTCGCTGCCTGATTTTACTGCCAGTTTTCCTTTGCATAGCAGAACCGTGCCTGTGGTCAAAGAACAAAAAGATACAGTATGTAACTCAGGCGGAGGGTAGTAAAGAAACAGAAGGAAGTGCAGAACACAGGGATAAGGTAGGAACTGAGGGACAGAGGGACCGTGGTGGGAAGCAACAGGAAGTAGAAAAAACAGAGGGATGTGTTGGTGGGAATTCTCACATTTTCAGTAAACATAAGGAAGGGAGCAAAGGAAGAGAAGCAAAGAAAAAGGGAAGTATGACCTGAGGTAATGACCTGCAATAGCAGCTCAATACTAAATAAAAAGGACACAGCAATTACCGTACCGTGGCAAACACTGGACCTTGAGGGGCTGATCCACTAGACTACCTGACATCGAATAAGGGGTCCAGCAAATATGGATAAGAGCATTTGAAGAAGAAACAGTGGGCAAAATGCTGGCTTTGGTGACATTAAGGCCCTATAGGGGGGATTCAACAAATGGAAAACATCTTGCGCTAAATGGAAATGCCTGGATGATAAACGCCTTAGCAGATGGAACTGAATTCCAATCCGTATCGAACCAGCTTATGGATGGCCTTGCAAAAGAATATCCTTTCAAAATCGACCCTAAAGCATTAAAGGGTGAGCCTCTTCTCTGACACCGAGAACCCTAGCAGCCGCGAACTAAAAAGGTGTTAACAAGAGACTGAGAGGAAGCTGAAGGCAGTCCTCTATTCACCACAAACCAACATCAAGTGACTGAGGCTCCGGCTCCAGTAAGGGCAGAACCATGAAGAAATCAAAGAGTTCTGTGATCATGTGATACACGCTATAGAGAAATATAGAAAGGACGAGCAGAGATTGAAGGAGCAAGAGAGAAGAGGTTCAAAGACAAGTTGGCTCAGTACAACTAGCGAGCTGACTGATAAAGAACAAGAAAACAACAACTCAGGCGAGGCGGCACGTGACACGCGACATTTGCTTAACGCTTCCGTGATTAATGTCTATGACCAACAGCCAGAAACACAGCAACAGTCCCAACTACGAGGAGACAACCTGATTATTCGCACAGAGGGGACCCACCGGGAGTTTGTTGGGATTTTGAAGAGCCTGAACACTCTCCGGCCAAACAGTAGGCCGGCCCCTTATTGGATGGACGGGGTGCTGGGGATCAGCTTGCAGCATGGCAGCTTGCAAATTAGCCAGAAACAAAGCTGCCATGGTGTATACTGGACTCTGCATACGCTCACGCGTGTGGCACTTATTTGGAGGCAGTCTGGAAACGAACAGGGTTTAAAAGGGTCTGTGAGATCACCATGAAGGATGCTGGTTGTACTGTGTCATTGACCATAGTTGATCTCTGGTTTGCACAGATACAGATCACTGTGCGAGGGGGGAGGTGATTAAGAAATATAAAACAGCAGGATATTGGTCCCAGGCAATGGTTGATGATGTGAAAATCTGTGCTCAAAAAAATGTAAGAAAAGAATAACAACACACTTAGGTCACATTCCAGTATGCTATAAATACTAGAGTTGTTCTGGTCTGTTTTCAGTTTCTTTGCAAAGTTTGTTTGTTTCTTTCTTTTTATTATTATAATATTCCATAAAATGCCATCATTTATAACATCCATCACTCATAAACCGTAACACTTTTATATCTTTTCAATTGACATGTATTTGTATTTATTTTTTCCACAAACTCTTCTTTGGCTGCAACTGTGTTTTTTGTAGTTACTGTTTTGCTGTACAATCGTAAATACAAAATATAATCAGATCTTCTTCATTTGATTACTTCTTTTTATCCAGGATAACTAAAGCCAGCATAATTTATATTAAATACATTTCAAGTCTTCAATTAAATCCACGTATCAAACTCTGTTCTGCCAGTCAAGTCTAGTGCAGGCAGACGAACCACTTCATCTCTCCACGTGTCAGCGTTGCTCTGTGGGAAAATGAGGTCATCTCCTCATTTTCAACTGTCATGAACACAGTGATGAACGAGGTCCAGCTTTCTTATATATTTTCCCATCCCTCTGTTTCTCCTCCTCCTCTGTTTCCCTCCGTTCTCTCTCCTTCTTCCAAAGATACACACACTGATAACACAAGCTGAACTGTTAACTGTTGGACTAAAATAT